TCGCAACCTGTTTCTCGCCATTACGGATGACTTGCCTGACGTGATGGACATTGGTAAGCATAATGAAACCACTGACCATGGAAAGGGACTAACAAACCCCGTTTTCACAGTCAACAACCGCAAACAAACAGAGCATGCGGGAATTTGTGCCCGAAATATAGAGTGTCTTGCGTTCCTGTTCGGAAAACAGAAGAGTCAGGAGTATCAGGATGCTCTAAGCTCGGGCTCCCTGGAAAGCCCAGCGAATCTCATCGCTCTCGATGAAGGTGTACGCACCATGTGGGACCAGTGCAAGATCACGCTCAGAGTCAAATCATTCAACGAGAACGAAGTCAATCTGGCACTTCATTATCTCCACGACTCGGAGCTGAGGAACAGGACGAGAGCCCCAGCACGATACAGGTGGGAGAATGATCTCACGGTGACCCCTGCGGACGTACTTTTAATTTGACGCAAAAGCCGAGCGTCTTGGAGGAATCGAGTGTCTCCGGCGAGAACACCACCTTCAGCGGACCCGCGGACATGGACCTGGTCTCTACGGCTACACAACAACATTTTCAAGATGGAAGCACGTTCAAAGTGTATGCTGAAGACCCAAAGTTGCGCCCTGATCCAATTCTGCTCGATCTACGCGATAAACTTGCTGTGATGGCGTCCCTCCTGGGCGCCGCCGAATACATAGACGACGACGGTCATGGCAATGACAGGGAGGGAACGAGACAATCGGCGGCCGATGAAGCCGAAGACTATCAAAGTGTTGATGGGGATATATCCGACATGGGCGAGGATCTTTACATGGATGATGACAACTATGGGTATGATTCAGATGAGTGAGGGAGGGAAAGGAGGCTAGGATTCGAGTCGCGACCCCTCCGCTCTCGAAGCCAGCTTAAAATGACTTCCATGTGAACAAGCCGACTAATTTGTACTTGTCGGTCGTTCCCCCTTAGCTCCTTCCCTGAAGATAATACGCCGTGCTTCTTTCCTCATTGGACTCTGAAAATCTTACCTTGTCAAAGCCGCCTGCCCAACTCTGCAAACTCACAGTCTCCAATCTATAAAAATCCCCATTTTTCAAAAGTCGGCCAGCAAATATCTTTCACTGCCACCCTTCATCTCTGAGAAAACACACGGCTCCCACCTTTAACTACATACCAGCTACAAGACACGCTGGCAACAATACTCCTCAATTTCTACCCGGATATCTACCTCTCGCTCGCATTTTACGAAGACACCCAACTCAAGCTACAAGAGAACCCGAAAATGCCTCTCTCCAACCTATCGCGCGTTTCTGAGATGCTTCGGCGACTTCAGAATACCTTCGAGGAGGAGTCGCAACAAGCTGGCCCTCGGTGGCTGATCAAGACATATGACAACCTCACGCCAGAGGAGAAGACCATACCCGACGATTGGCTTCCCCGCCTACATCACTGCAACCGCATGGGCGTCCTCGACTCGCAGGAGAAGAAGGAAGCTGCGCGGCAGAAGATCTGGGCACTGGTTTTCGACGGCTGGAATACCGACTCCACGATCCCCAAGCCCACTAGTCCCGGCGGGAGCAAAGCCCAGGATGGAATCGTCAAGATTGGCGTTCTCAACGAGGATGCTCCGAGTTCCCGAAAGCGGAAGGCTGATGGATCCATGGCCCCCTTACCTGCCAGGCGTTCTCGCGGCGCTGATGTGTTCATCAAGGCGAAAGCTCACTGGCTACGCCAAGATCTGTGCTTCCCCCTCTGCGACTCACGAGGCATAGCATTCGCCTCCAACATCAGCTATAGAAAGCTTCCTGGAAGCACTCTCGGTCGACTGAAGGGCGAATGCAGTAGCCGCTGGGACTCGATTGAGGTCTACCGCGGACGAAAGGCGAACAACGAACTCGTCGCTTACTGGGCAAGACACAAGCTCGTATTCTCTCTCAAGAACAACTGGAGAGGCCGCGGAGACCCTGAAGCTGTTGGTCTCCCTGGCTCGCGAACCACCGCCACACTCGAAGGCCAGCCCACGATGGAAATTGACCAGATTATCGACCTTGGAAAGTTGACATACATCAAGTTATGCATCGATATCTGGGAGGCGTACCACGACGCCGCCAGCTTTCACATGGCAATGAACAAAGACTACTCTGGGGTTTTCGAACTGTGTAAGTCCTATCGACCCCGGTTATCGCAAATGTCTAACTCATCTGAAAGCCTCTTAGCCATTTGGCCCGAACATCAAGAGCCAACAGAGCGCTCGAGGAAAGCTCCACCGACATGGTCGCGTTTCTGCTCTTTGGCCTAGTTCCAATCTTCATCCTCTCGGTTAATTGGTGCATGGAAATGCCTACCGTTTCTGTCGCTCGTTGCGAGAGACAATTTGGTGTGTTCTTTCAGGAAAGGGAATTGGGTTTGTAACTACTCGGAGGGGTGTATTGTAGGGTCAAGGGTCGTTTGTAACCTGCGTTTCTTTTTCCCTATGCATTTGCATTTGGGATCTCGTTTTTGCAGCTTGGAGTTTTCGTTCTTCTCACTACGGTATATCGTTTTCGGAATTGGAATTTTGCTCTGGTAGGTTTCGAGAAAGGATCAGTCACACTATGCCCCGTTCTTTATTCAACTCTCGCGCAATCAGTTCGTTTCAATAGGAACTCTGCCTCGTATTTATCTATCGGAGAGATACAGTTCTTCTAAGTCCACTACGGTCGAAACCGTGTGCTCTGATCCTTCATGACGGCTAGGCTGCGTAATTCGTCGAAAGAAACGGGGTTTGGAGCGAGGCTCCTTTGCTTACAGGCCACAGGGAGCGAGAGACTCAACGCTGACAAATCTAGTCAAAATACGGGTAATACTCCAGTCCGAATGAGTACACCTGGAGGGTTGCAAGCTGAGTGATGGGGTGCGAGCCCCTTACCATGCGGCGTGGATCTTTGCGCGTCTCATAGGCACCAACACCACCAACACGTACAGCCACCGGGCCCTGCATTTGGCCACTCACTTGGCCACTCACATGGGCTGTCATGATTGGGCTCCGCACAATAGCAGTCCACATCTAAGCGCCGACATCCTCACATGTTGGCGGCGCATTTATGATCCACGTCTCCCACCAGTCGAGTCATCGAAGTTTTCTTCCATATACATCCCCTTACACGCACAGTCTGACGGATAGCACTCCGGATCGCAGAGGCTGGCCAACACGATGGAGGTAGTTGGGGCCGTATCGAGCTTTATCGCTATCAGCCAAGCATTAGTGGCCGGCCGCCACATCGTCAACGTTCTTCGAGACATCCCGAAGATAGGCAGCGAACTACAATCGCTAGACTTCGAGGTTAGTTGCAAATCACGTTGGACAAAGTCGCTATCGAAAAGTGCCACGGAGATTCTGACAAGAACATTTGTCCTAATTTTCCACTTCTATAGATTCAAAGTCTTGCATCTGCAGTCAAGGCCGCTGAAAAGCAACAACATATCTCCCGCGGACGCCAGGCTGAATCTCTGGATCTCAAACTAGCGAAAGAACGGCTCGAGAAGACTGTCGAAGGCCTCCAGAACTTGCATCGCCGTGTCACGCGAACCGACGAAGATGGCAACGTCAAAGCGAGGAAGACCAGATACTTATTCTTGCAAAAAGATCTTGCGGACTGTCGAGATAAGATACGTGATGCTAGAGACACCCTGCATCTTGTTCTGATGAACATGAACCTGGAAGAAACTACGTGCGTAGAGCGTCATCCACGAAAGGATGTTCAAAAGTGCTGATAACTGGTGGCCAGCCGGATGGCACTTCGTGTTGAGAGCCTCACTATTCAGTCAACAGGCCACATTCCTCGTGCCAATGAATGCTCGAGGAGTGTGGCTCCAACGGCGGGAAACCTCCTCCTGATCACACCTCACACTACCGAATACCAATTTCCAAAGCCAGTTCTAAATTCAGATCAAGCTTTTCCAGAAAGGGTAGGTCAACTTACATCAGTTACGCGAGAGTTGGCCTCCGACGTCCAACCACGGCCCATTGAGGACGGTATGAGTTTCAGGGCCAAATTATCAATGGAAAACAAGTGCTCACGTAATTGCTTGTGTCGTTGCCATGCCTCTAAGCAGTCATCTTTTGGCTATGATGGCTGGGCAGGCAACATACTGGGCTCTTTCTCTGTGACATCGGACAGTAGCATCTGGTTTCGGAATGCAACCAAATGCACCGAATCGAGTTGTAGGAAGAATCAGAAAGGCTCGATAACGGTCAACTACAAGTTTCCGACCTGGCTTTGGCCCCAAAGCTTTTCACTTCAGAGCTCTATGGGCAGTTTATCTGCACTGAGCGCTTCATTACGTCCAATCAGAATCCTGGCAGATGGTGCAACAATATGGCACATCATTCAAGACCAGTCAAGAGCGGAAGTGCAGCAGTTGATCCTAAGGAAAGGCAACATATATCCCGATGATTGTGACTCTAAAGGATTGACACTCCTCGAGGTAAGCGTTTCATGGAATATCAAAGCGCTGATGGCATCCAGTGGCTGACATTCACAAAGTGGGCTATCACTGCTGGAACACCAGACGTGCTAGAATTTCTGGTGCAGTTTTGGGACGGAGAGATTGCAAAGTCACATATCAATAAGTAAGTATTAATTACGAAATGTGTCATTTTCCTGGTCAAAATCCATCAACTTATCAATAAGCAGGAAGTGTGCTTTCAACGCGCAAAGTCAACTTACAGGCAGGCCACACATGACGTCTCAAGAATCTCAAGCACAACACAAGGTAGTACAGCTTGGCGGAGACACTGTCCAGGCAGTTCAGACACCGCTACACCAAGCGGCAACCTTGATCAGCAACGAAGAGACAATCCGGGAATCAATCCAACAGGCATTTAAACAATACTCATGGGCATTGACTGAGTGGAACTACGAAGGCCAGACGCCACTACATGCTGGGGCGAGTCATGGCAATATCGTAGCCGTACGAGAGCTTATTCGTCTCGGCTCTAACGTGGACCAATTGAACTTCTTCGGGAGAACCCCTCTTATGGAAGCTATTGACATGGGGCATATATGTGTCGCTAGGTGTCTGCTCGGGGCCGGTTGTTCGGTAAAAGCTGTAGCATCGGATGGTTCAACGGCCTTGCACTATGCCGCATGTCCAGAAAACGAGCCTGAGAAAGATCCTGCTAGCATAATCAGGGTTCTGCTCGATGCAGGCACCTCACCAGCAGTTAAAGATGCATCTGGCAATACGGCATTGCACTGCCTAGAGGCTTCCAACGTCAGTAGACAAGCCACAAAGGAAAAGATTCAGTTGCTTGTGAAAGCAGGTGCTGGAATCAACGAGCGTAGCGGTGATGGCGACACACCATTGTTTCGGGCCATTCGCACTAATCAGCCAGAGGTTGCGAAATATCTCTTGAAGGCAGGCGCCGAAACTGATTCTCCACAGGGATTAGAGGGAAATGTCCTTCACGTCGCTGCTGCATATGGGGAAATTGAAGTCCTTCGGAGCCTGGGTAAAATGCATTTACCTCAAGTCAGAGTAGACATGAAAGATTCTGACGGCGATACTCCCTGGGATCTGTTCATTGGCACTTTGCATCAACCAGAATGGAAACTTGGGTCTGCGCGCAGACCAACCTCAGAAGAGAAGGAAGCTTTCGTGTGTTTGTACACACAGATCAGAAATCGCAACTTACAACATGACGTCGCCAGACTAGAGTGGGCACGACAATATCTTGTAGAAGAAGACCTGCGAGGCGCCTCTGCGGCGATAGCACAGATTATAAAGGAGAATGAGGAATGGAAAGAATGGAAGGCTGTTCAAACATACCAAGCAGTTAGGGTCCAAGTTCGGGAAAGAATGTGGGAGGCGGCAATTGAATCGGTGGACGAAAACGTCGATATTCTGAAAGATCAGATCTCCAAATCCCCCTGGGACCGGTGGTCTCACTACGATATTTTAGCAACGATGGATGCAGATGAGTTCTCAAACTAGGTTGATGGTACAATTAGTCGACATTCTGAAAAAAGCATCAAGATCCGCGAACAAGTTCATCTTTGACTGGTCATCACTACAGAGCTAGCAGCGCTGCCGCAAGTGCAAGTCACTTAGCAAGTAATACAAGCTAATTAGCTAAGTTAACGCTATCGCTACTACCTAAGTAAACAATTTATTACCCCTTAATTAAATTATTAGACTTAATATCTTATTTATAAATAGATCTAACTAATAAGAAACTATAGATTAGTTAGTACTTTATTTATTCTAATATATATAGTTATTAAAATATAATATTATTACTAATATTATAATATCTCTATATCTAATTAATACTCTATAAATTACCCTCAAAATACTAAATTTTAAATAATCCTTTTAAAACTTTCTAAAAAGGTAGAAGTTATTATAGTAGTTTAAATAGTATAAAGAGTATTATAATTAGCTGTTTTTTATAAAAAATATTTATTATTTTATATTTTCTTTATTATTTATACCTATATATTTATACTTTTTATAATATTAATTATTACTACTACTTCTTTATTTACTACTAATATATATATACTTTTAAATACTCTTTATACTTAAATCTTAATTTAAGTTATAGCTACTTTTACTATTAATACCTCTCTAAATCTTATAATTAATAACTTACTTTATATTATTATAGATAACTAAAGGTATATAGTTAAAAAGTAGTTATTATAGAAGTGAAGTAGAAGTTAATTAAGCTAGATTTAGTATTATAGCTACTTCTTTATTAAGGTTATATAGGGCTAAGCTAATACCTCCTTCTAAAGTTATTAATAATATAATATAAAAAAAGCTTTATAGCTATTTAGCGCTTTTATTATTACTACTAAGTAAGAGCACTTACTTTAGTATATTATTTTAAACTTTTAGATTATATAAATTACACTCTAATAATACTAAAGTAACTATAATATCTATAAAATCTCTCTTCTATTAAATAAAAACTTTAATAATATTATTCTTACTTCTTTACTTTTTATATTAATACTATCTCTATATAAAAGACTTTACTTTACTAATACTAATATCTTAAAAGCTAAAATTATAACCTTTAAAAACCTCTATATTACCTCTATTATCTCTATTAATCTACTATTTACTTATTTTAAGAATATCTTCCTTTAGTAGATCTTTTAGTATTATAATATAAAAGTTATTAATAAGGTTTTATAAAGCTAAAGTTTTATTTAAAACTAGCTTTAAAACTTCTTCTAATATAGTAAAGTTTTTATAATAGCTAAACTTTACTTAGTAATATTAAAGATATATCTATTATTTAATCTATAGTTCTTACTTAATATTTATACCTTTATAGTAATTATTAGTTACTTTATTAATAATAAAGGTACTTTATAGTTATATTTTCTAACCTTCCCTTAGTATTATAGAAACTATAGTAATAAAAGCTTTATAAAGACCTTTATTAGTATTATTAACTAATACTAAATTTAGGACTATATTAGAGTAATAATTACTAATAATACTATAAATAATAATACTTACTTTTAAGCTTTCTACTAGCAGATTAACCTAGAGATAATAAAAATAAATATCTAAGCTTAATATATATAATACTATAGCTATATCTTTAATCTTATAACTTAAGTTTTCTTATTTAGTAAGAACTAAAAGACTCTTAAAGCTAAATTAAACTACTACTAACTTATAGAGTAATATAATAAAGATCTAAAAGTATAGTAGTATCTTAAGCCTATTAGCTAATTCTAGAATATTATTAAGTTTATATAAGTTTCTCTATAATAAATAGAATAATACTAAAAAGTAGTAATAGAGATTAATAATAGCTCTAACTTCTAGATCTTCTTTAAGTTATACTAAGAAGCTTAGCTTATACTAAATAATAATACTTATTAGAATAGTATATATCTAATAATTAAGAGGGCTATAAAGAAGAAAGTAGAGATTTAAGCTTTCTTATTAATTAATAATAATAATAATAATATTAAGTAATATATATTAAAATTAAACCTACTCTCTATTAATAATTAGAAAGTCCTTATTAAGATCTTAATAATCCTTAAACTTTTTTATTACTAAATAAAGTAATATAAAAGCTAAAGTATTAATAATAAGTATAGCTAACTCTAAGAAGTTATAATAAGTATTAAATACCTTCTCTTATATCTTATTAACTAGAAGATATATTATAATACTAATATTAATTTTAAAGTTAATAATAATAATAAAAGTACTTCTTAACTATTATAGCTATCTTAAAAGTATACTAACTAAGCTTAATATTATTAGTATAATATCTAAGCCCTACTTACCTATATATAGAAGGACTAAGTATTACTAACTTTATAATCTACTTTATAATTTAAGACTCTTAATAAGAAGTAATAAACCTTCTTCTATAGTAATATTAAATAAGTATAATAAAAACTCTTTAATTACTATAAGTTTCTTAGAAAGTTATTACTATTCTTTAGTATAATTATTTTATACTTATTATATAATATCTTATATTTAAGAGATATATAAAGTAAAAATTACTAAAAAGGATAAATTAAGAAGGTTCTAAATACTTTTATAGAGTATTTTAACTAATAGTATTATTAACTTAATAAGATCTTACTATTAAGCTAATAAGCTAATATACTTCCTATTAATCTTAATACTAGAAATATAGAAAATATTTACTACTAATAATAAGTTAATAGTTAGTACTATTAAATACTACTTTAGATAGATAAACTTAATCTCTACTTCTATTAACTTCTAGAGATTACTTTTAACTTAATATAGTAATAAATAAACTATATAGAGACTTTCTTAGAGCTCTCTTAGTTTATTATTAATATCTTTATTATATTAATAATAATAGCTAACTATAAGAAAGTTTTTAATACTACTAAATTAAACCTCTTATTATAGAAACTCTTAATAATACTAGATATTATAGAAACCCTCTAACTAAATAAAAACTAGCTAAAGAGGGGAGTAATAATACCTTAGAATTACTTTAAACTACTAGGGGTATTATAACTTTATTTACTTATTACTTAATTAAGAAGTAGTAATAATATTGTTTACTATAGTGTTTAACTTACTATATTTATAAGTTAGCTAATAATTAAAGCCTAGGAAAAAGATCACTAAGTTAATAAGTATGGGGGGCAAAATTGACTTAATTGCACTTGCGGCAGCGCTGAGAGCTGCAAAGCCATCCCTACTTCGTGGAAACGTCATGCCAGCTGCGGGTTAGAGCTGACTGGTAGGGAGGGGCCTGAAAAATGCCGGAGGCTCCCTAAGTCGAGCATATTCACCTGAGCAGAGTGAGGAACCTAGGAAGCTGTGCTGATGGAAGTTCAAGATTTGTCGAAACAGCGGGATTCGCGTCCCTACCAAATCACAGCCCAGACCTTGAGCTATTGAGTCCGCCAGACTTTTCGCTCACTGCCAGCCTGTTATCAGGGCTGTTCAGTGAAGTTCACTTGTGGACATTTTAAAGCTATCCCCTTGGTATGGAGCTACCCACGAACAGCCTTTTGGGTAAGCTTGGCTGGTAGCAGAACGTTTTCTTTGTTGCAGCACGACCGGAGGGTCCGTTAACCCGAGAGCCAAAAAGGGTAAGACCTCGAATCTACTTTCAAAAGAGCTTGTGTCGAGTCAAAGAGTGTGTTCTTGAACGCTACGCCATTCATCCATTTTTTCATCTCCTTCGGATCTACCAGTCTAAAGTTGCCTTAAATATTCCGCAACATGATTGTATACCGCCAAGGACGAGACAGCAGCGTACCAAAATTACCATTTCGACTCTGCCTTTCATCAAAGCGCAAATCTCACTCGACAGCCTGTTACAAAACGATTCAACATTTGAAACGGATCCAATGCCGAATACAAAAAGCTACCGTTATGAGAATCTTGTCGAGCTTGTCAAGGATGTCAACAGGTTCCAGATTAAAGGCACAGAATGGAAGTTTTGTCTCAAAGACCCCACGAACCCGACCTCTCCTTGGAAGGCATTCGGAATTGTTCTTGAAGAGAATGTCAAGTGGCTGAAAAAGGCAAACAGTAAATGGCTCGACTTCGACTGGTTGTCAAAACAGATCCGGTTGATCAACCCATCCATCGACCCAACAACGGGAACAATTCAGCTTAATTATGCCTGGAAGGAAATAGTAGACAAGCTTGACGAGATTCCAGGCGGCAACTTACCTCAGTGGGTGAAGAAGAACACAAAATGGCTGTATAACGATCAGGAATCATGGCCTCTGATCGAGGAAGATGAAAATTTCAGAAAGCTTTTCAGGGAAGGGATTTGGTGCGACCTTGTCCCGATCTTCGGTATCCTTACGACCGGCGCACATCTCAACGTCTACAAGATCACCAAAGAAAACGGCTTTCAGGTGTGGGTGTCCCAGCGCCCTGACACGCAACCAAACTTCCCCGGACTACTCGATCAAGCTGCAGCTGGTGGTTTTACACCGAGCCACGAAACGATCCTTGAGTGCATCGAAAAGGAGAAGAAACAAGAATCAAAGGGATATCCACGTCATTGGCGTGAGTTAATGCGTCAGAGCTCGGATATTCCCACCATTCAATTCTTCGACGTGCGCGATGAGAGATGGGAAAAAGGCTATGCTGGCCTGCCCGAGCCTGGTATCAGGAAAGCGTACGATCTCAGGGTCAATGACGAGAAAATCACAGGAAAGGAAGGCCAGACTTTCAAGCTAATGGGGATCGACGAGATCAGAGAAAGCTTGCTGCATGGGCGATGGAAACCGAATTCTGCGCTGGTGATGATCGACTTCATGATCCGACACGGACTCATCGAAAACAAGATCGAAAAGGCGGAAATTCCGAGGCTATTGAAGCTCGACCGTGAAAGGCAGTTCGGCTTCGGCATCACCGTCATTGAGCTTTCTGATTATGTGCAATTCCCTCTGCATGGAAACAAGTAGATCCTATCATGAGGCTTCTTTTAATGTGTGGACTTCGGTTGTGCCTGTTTACTGCGTCGGCCAGATTCCATTCTAGTACAGATGTAGACGGGACGTCAAGCCAACTCCAATAGTGATTCGGCCCCGTGGCGTTCAAAAGCTTAGGTTTCTTACATTTACAACTGAAGAACGAGAGTAACATTGGCAATCGCGCGGGTGAAGCCTTTGAAATGCCTAAATCATCCAGTTACAAGTAACACTCAATATTCGACTACTTTATTGGGATATTGCATGAAGCCAATGTTAATCAACCCATCGTGGAGAACATGGAACCCTTTTTCCATCTCACAAATCACAGCTACACCTGACTTCTAGCCTTCCTCTCCTTCTCAGACGAGGTATTCTGTTGCAACAATAGGGTATCAATCCTCGCCATGACGCCGTCAAGAACGGAGCGGACCAAGCCATCAGGAGCCATGCCCGCCTCAGTGCACGCATTGATAACCGTATCACCGCCAGCCATACCAGCAACATTGAAGACTATACCATGGTATCCAACAGCGCCGTGAGGAGAGGCGGTAGAGAATTGAACGTCCTCGATCCTCACGGCCGGCTCCTCTCCACCAACCGATACCGTAGTGGCCTTGAGTGCACCTAGGTTTGAAACTGAGAAGCTGTTCTGCATGACCACATTCATTGAAGGCAGAGACTTGTTAACAAACTCCTCGAGTGTCGGGCCCATGGTGTTTCCGCTTAGCCAAGACTTGCAAAGCTTAGACTTGGTGCCGCCCTTGCGGAACTTTTGCATTCGCTTGCCGTAATCGCGAACAAGTTTCCAGGTTTCCTTTGTGTCAAGGTACGCCCTAGACTGTTGTATGCCATCACCTGAAAACATCGTGGGAAGGACTTTTCGGTACTTTCCGAGACGCTCCTTTTCTGGGACGCTGGCAGCTAAGTTGAGCATCTTGCCCTGACCAGCTGCCAGATCCTCAAAGTCACAGACTGGTCGCATGTCTACTGCGTACCGTGTGAATCCAACCTTTGCCTTGCGATAGTGGTCCGCTGCTAAAGTGCCAGTGATCAAGACCATAAGCAAAGGAGTGAAAGTTGTCCCGTGGCTACGGCAAGCAGCCAAAATAGATTCCATCTTTTGAGCAGGGATGCGATAGTTGTAAACCTGTGTGGAGGTCCGGTCTTGAGGCAAAGGGTTACCCAATGAATCTTTGAGAAACTTCCTGGGCGGGGCAAAGTCCGTAAAGAAGAGGGCTTTTGAGTAGAAGTACCGGAGGAAGGCAAAGCTTAGGAAGCTGTAGATGACACCAAGCGCGGATGGCTTCTTCCGGATAGTGTTCTTGACTCTCTCGTTTAGTCTCATTCTTTCAGGGTTCAAGTGAACCTCCCTTGGAGCTTGTTGTCTCATTCCTGAGGCGGCTGCGGCATTGAGCGACGCAAGAAATTCGCGGTGGAAGGTCATGCCGAACGAGCCGTCGCAGACGAGATGGTGGAAGAGGAAGACGACGTCGCGACGTCCGAGGATAAGCACTTTCCACCATGGCTGACCGGGTCTCACTTCTCCATCAGCCCAGAGCCACTCGCTGTGGAGCTTCTCGAACAGGTCTGAGCCAAGGGGTGGGACGTTGTGGTCGATGAACTCAACGCAGCTGTCGAGGTTGATTGTGTTAAGTGAGGCCAAAGAAAGGAAGTGCTTTCCATCTTCGTTCATTTCTTTGACGCCAACCAGGCCAAGCTCTGGGCACTTGGTGACGACGGCATGAAGGGCTGCAAAAACTGTCTCATCTGACAGGTCGAGGTTTTGACCGGTCTTCGCCGAGGCGTAGCGAGCTGCGACCAACACGTTTGCTTGAATCCCAAGGCGATGGTAGACATAGAACATGCGATCTACCTGGGCTGCAAATGAGTCAGTATTTGCTCGTCGTTTTTGCGGAGACTAGGCTTACTGGTCTTGCGGACGATTGTGTACGGGTTGGGCTGTACTGCGGCATCTTGACCCTCTTTAGCAGTGAGGGTTGTGGTGGCCATTTTTCTGATGAGCCTGCGCGTAACTTCCGGAGAGCTTCAACAATCTAATACGCGTAAACTTCTGAGAAAGCTCCAGGCTTCCTAATAGATCTCCGAAGACTTTTCCGGTTTTGCCAACAAAAGCCCGGAAAGAAACTTACCCAGGGCTCAATGCTGTATTTGAGCTTCAGTATCCCAGGGGTCGGTCCTTCACAAACCGCATGGACGGGGTCACAAGGAAACATTGCCAAGTGATCCAAGCTCCATACACTCCGTTGCGTTGACAGCGTCCGCCCCCAAGTTTGACCCGGAAGGAAAATTTTCCGCTAGCTTAGAAACCCCTTAAAACCCCCTAAACTTCACGTTTTAATAACTCTATGCGTACGTAATGCGCGTAAATAAAAAATATATCAATCGATAGCCCTCGATTAGGTGATTATAATGATATCTTTTTTATTCTCGCGTATTACGTACGCATAGAGTTATCTAAGTGTGAAGTTTAGGGGGTTTTAAGGGGGTTTCTAGGTTAGCGGACACTTAACGCAACGCTAAAAAGAAAAAACGAAACCCCCGGCGCGTTGCGTTGAACTGTCCGCTTAAAAAACCCCTCAAAATTAGCTTTAACTTCACACTTAGATAACTCTATGCGTACGTAATGCGCGAGAATAAAAAAGATATTATTATAATTACCTAATCGAGGGCTATCGATTGATATATTTTTTATTTACGCGCATTGCGTACGCATAGAGGTATTAGTAGACGAAGTTTAGGGCGATTTGGTGGTTTTTCGGTAAAAAGCCCCTTTTTTTGCCTTTTTCGGGCTAAAAACTGCGGGGTGGACGCTGTCAACGCAACGGAGTGTACCTTTTTCGTCGGTGTCGCATCGCGCTCAGATCTTCATCCCATCAGCAGCATAGCTCCCAGACGACCTCCAGTCGAACTATGAGCTTGAATCAACTTTGAAACCAATCAGCACACTGGAAATTTTCATTTCTGTCTGCTAATGAACCACTCATTGTTCGCGATAGTGCCACCCCGGACTTTTAAGGTCCTCACTTGCATGAGGGCTCAAACTGCGTCCTCGGTCAAACACGAATGGTCTCTGGAACTCGTCTGAATTTGGGAAAAGCAGCAAGTCTCCAGTCAGCATTGAAGGAACATAAGGTGCATGATTCTGACCATAATGTGTTGCGTGACCTTTGAGAGGCGCGACGTTGGATCCGCGAGAAAAATGAAGCCGTCGTGCTCACTCTTGGCAGCATGAGCTCAGACATCTGAGCAGCACGCCCTGCTGCATCTCTGAGGATCAACCAAAACATCATCTGTATGTGGGGTAGCTGTCACATGTAAGGGTAAAATGCTTTCAAACCACACGAAACTTGTATTCTGATGTCTGGATAGGCCCCTGGCCTCCCACCAGGATGGGCTCAACTCAGAGGCAGTTCATCTGGTGTCCCCCTCCCACGCCTCAGTTGGGGATCTCGTCGATACTCGAGATGTTAACCTCCTTGACCCCATTCAATTCACGGCGTAATTTGCTACTGGCGGCATAGACTGCATATGTCAGCGCTCAAAGCCGCAGCAAGACGTTTGGATAGGAATCATACCAACGCGCCTGAGCCTATTCGGACTCCCTAGCGGCTGCAAGCTCTTCAGTCCGTGCCAGGGATCAACCCGCATGTAATCCTCCCAGAACCGCTTTCTCTCAAAGTCAAAACTATTTTGACGTGGAATGACAAGCTTGGCGACCGTCTGCCATGGGTACTTTTCCTCGTCCCACGCCTGACCCGCGTACTCAACGGGCTGCTCCTCCTGATTCTCCAGTAGTTGAACCTGGAACAAGTACTCAGCCTCATGATTGGCGTGGAAATTCTGCAGCCATGTTTGTAAGATGTCTTCGTCGTGTTCTGGTTTGACCGTCTCTTCGTACAACCTTCTCTGCGTTTCGCTCGATGGCACGAGGGAGTACTTCATCACGTAGTCTCCAAACCTGTAAGCTGTTTGCGAATACTGCCTCGTTGATTCGAGATGAGAATTCCGAAGCTTGTCTCGGGCCGTTTGGAGCTCCGAATCTTGCCGAGCATTGAGATGTTTGTATAATTCTTTCTTGTCATCGCCATACTTCAGGCGCAACTGAAAAATCTCCTTCGTGGTCTTAGCGTCGGCAAGCTCAATGGCAGGTGCACTGTTGAACTCGATGTCTTGCGTAGGACATTCTTTGCCTGCATCAAACATGTCACCCTCAACATTGAAGAGCTTCATTGCAAAGCCACGTGGCTGTGGAATGCGATCCTGGTAGAACTTTCAGCTGATGCTGGTATTTGACTGAAGACTGAAGACTTACGTCAAGACCTGGGTCTCCTGGCTCTGAGCTGTATCGACAAGCAACAGGGTACTCGCCCCCATGTCGGAACAACTCAGTCTGCCTCAGATGTTCTGGCAGATCATTCTGAACGATAAACTTGCCCTTGACAATGCCTTGCGTTCTCGCGTGAGTCGCGCCATAACCATGACGAGTCTTGTTCCAGGTCCTGCGTTGTTGCTCATTGATCAGCTTAGCCACTGTTTCAATGTCTCCATCTTCATTCGGCGGGACCTTCTCGACACCATCTGCGTCCCATTTCACGTATTTTCGGCTGGCAAAGTCGTCGGAAGGTGTCATCTTGCTTTACGTTCTTCGACTTTTGCACAAACTACGCGACCTTACAGAGACTGCGGCCAGCGAAAGAATTTATTGAATCCTTTCTGCTTCATAAAGCGCATACCTATTTGCAATACGCATGGTGGAATTTCATCACATGCCGTCATCATTACAATCACAGCGAAATAGCATATGAAGACGTTTGGAGCCAAATACGCGCTATGAATCATTGGCGGGCGCTAACAGTCGTGGCGTCGGTACCATCAACTGAGATAGTGCCGACCCCGCAAAGGAAGTCAAGGCTTGTTGGAATATTCCGCAAAGACCACGTTGGATTCGACAGGTTCTGTAAAGCTTTTTAGCAATAAGAGCTACGTAAGCGCTTCAACAAACATTTAGAGAATGCCCAGCATTACGACTGATTTGAGCTGAGCCTTGGCTGTGAGACCTCGGTTTTCCAGAAATGTTCTAGCTTCGGCGGGAGACGAGCTTACTTGCTTGCCCTGCTGATCCTTCCAGGCATCACGGGATAGCTGACGGCTTCACAGCCAATGGACTAATGCCCCGCCAAACTTCCGCGAACCCGCGTATCAATGAACCGACCAGGAAGGGAACACAGCCGGAGACAGCGCGGCCAATCGGCCCCACAACCGGTATGGTCGGAGAGGCCGACTGTTGGCACCAGTTCAGCTCCACAGCTCTGGGCGACAATTCCCTGTGCCTGGGGTCCTCCAGACCTCCGGGTACCATGCGCTCGCTGATCTTGGCTCGGGCTGCTGATGCGACCGACCGGTTCAGTGGCAGTGACAGGCCACTGGTCAGTGGTTCGTCTGAACGTTTGGGGATCACCGGGACATTGGCTAGCCGTTGCGCCATGAAACATTCAGCTATGTAGCTGGCATGTGGTTGCTTCCGTCGAACCATGTCCAACGAAAACGGCTTCTACAGCAAGAGACCTTGTAAAGACTCATAGATGAGGAATGTTAACAAAAGTGATACCAGCCAGCGAAGACACGGTTAAGGCGAGAGTTCCTGGGTTTGCCGCCTCGGACGCGAGAAGCCGAAAGCGAGTGGCTTTGCAGGTCGCGTCATTTGGGTGGCTAAGACTGCTAAGTTTCCCATCGAATCAGCTAAGCGACCGTGGCTGGCACACACCAAAGTCTCCAGACATGGGCTGGGCAAGGCACCCCGCGCAGTCACTGCGCCACCTGCAAGTGACGAAGAAACAGAGCGATGAGGGGCGGCGGAAACGGGGCGCTGCTCAGCGGAGGGTGAGAAGCATTCTCCCGCTCTGCATGCATTCTGGCCCCCTCCTTGGCAATCTCCGCGAGCTCCGTTTCTACGCTAGCTCCTGTTGAATCCCGTCTTACAGTTGGCGCCTTTTAAAGCTCAGCTGTTTCCCCTCTGCTGGCTTTGGAGACATCATCATCATCAAGCATTCGACTCTTCAGCCCTTTCGATCCATCTCAATACCCGACTTCAAATCATCCAAACACTTTACCAAACATCTCCCCAGTAACATGTCTTCGAACGACTACTACGGCAACAGCGGCCACGGCCAGCAGGGCTACAACCAGGGTTACCAGCAGCAGCAGGGCTACGGCCAACAGGGTGGATATCCCCAGCAGCCAAGCTACGCTCCTCAGGTAAGATACCAAAAATGCATACTATCTTGAAGCAAACCATCTTTTGGCGCATGCTGACGTTTTATGCAACAGCAGCAGCAAGGCGGCTACCCTCAACAGTCACACTCCCCGTACCAGCAGGGTGGTGGCTACAACGCTCCCCAGCAGCACGGATATGGCGGCCCCCAACAGCCCACTTACGCCCAGGGTCAAGGCCACAACCAGGGTTACTCCTCTGGACATGACAACCGGGGTCACTCTCCCTACCCTCAACAACAACAATATGGTCAGCAACAACACGGCCAGCAAGGCTATGGACAACAAGGCTATGGACAACAGGGCGGTCCAGGCCAGTACGACCCCAATGGGCCCGTCGGCCCTGATGGCGAGCGTGGCCTTGGCGCGACACTAGTCGGCGGCGGAGCTGCCGGATGGGCTGCGCACAAGGCCGGAGGCGGCCTGCTCGGTACTCTCGGTGGTGCTATCGCCGGCGCAGTCGGTGCCAACATGTTGGAGCACGCCGGCAAGAAGCACAAGAAGGAGAAGAAGCACAAGAAGGACAAGCACCACAAGCGCGGTCTCAGCGGAAGCTCCAGTTCCAGTAGCGACTAAGCGCGTTTCCTTTTCTCTTCAACCACGACGTAACCGGTATGCGAAGCTGTCGGAACACTTCGGGTGCCACAATTTGGACGATACCCAGAACGCCTGCACGAGCTCATGACAGTTTGGACTTCATTTGGTGGGATGCACATAGA